GAGGGCTTGGCAGAGCCTCTTGGGCAAGCTGCGGTCGAGGGCCAGGACTCCTCTGGCAGCTCCTTGAGACCCTGGAGAGCTGAGGAGGAAGCCAGTGTTGCAGCGTCCTGCTCCTAGCCAGCCCGGCCTCCGTGCCCTTTCCGGGCAGGGAAGGGCTCAGCCGCCTAGACCTCCCTGCCCAGCCTTAGGATCTGTCTCTACTCACCTCTATTTCTCTAGGTCTGTCTGTACCTCCCCACAGGAACCTGCAGCTTCACAGGCAGACAGATCCATGTGGATCCCAGCCTAGGCCCCAGCCTCATGGCCTATCACATGCCCAGAATACTGGGGCAAAGATAGGCCTGCCCACCCACCTGCAGAGGCCCCAACATTCTCTGTCCTTAAGGATTCCCAGGTTAGCCCCTCAGTTCTTAGCATGGTCTGCATCCCTCCCTCCACTGGTGTCCCCAACCTCACCAATCAGCCCCTGTCTGCTCCTTTCCAGATTCTGACCTCAAAACTAGACTGAAGGGAACAGAACAGGGAAATTTATTTCCTGGTTGGGTCTGTCCCTTTTCTGATGCTAGGAAATGGAAAGCCGGCCTCAAGGCCTCCTTCACTCAAAGGAGGAAGCAAAACACCAACTCAAAAAAAGTCAGCTGTGGCCGCTGTCAGGAGCCTGTGAGCCAGCTCAACAGTGGGCCCACTGCTCAGGAATTCCTTCACTCCAGCAGTACCAGAGGCTGCCACCCCATCTTCCCTCCAAGCTCCTCTTTTTGGAGTCCCAATCCAGGGAGAGGAGGACCTCAGAGGGGGCGGAGAAGCTTAAACCTCCCCCAATCCTGCCTTCTGCTGGAGATGCCCGAGGAGCTGTGCTTCCTGAGTTTGGGGGACCTAGATGACATGCCACAGCTCCTGCTCCCAGGCTCCCTCCCATGCCCTCTCCAACAGCCTGTAGGGAAATCCCTTGCAAATAGTGTACAGACTAACCAACCAACTACTGTGTGGAATGGTGAACAGGGAGGGCGGTGAATCACCAGGTACTATGGAAGGACTAGAGTCAGGCCAGTCTCTGGAAAGAATTTGTTGACAGTCATGGGAGGAAGTTCATAATGAGACCATATAGCGTAGCTCTTGGAAAAAACGAGCCTGGAGCCTTTCTATAAGTGCAAGCCTCTCTGGAGACTCATGGGAGACAGCCTAAATCAATATCAACTAGTTCACAATGATGTGGAGAGATGAGATATGGAAGGGATGGGGCAAGGTTTGGCAGTGAAAAGAAAGGCACAGAGAGCCAGCAGGCAAGGCAGAGAGGAGGAGTCATGTACACACAGCCCCATTATCGGAAGAGAAAGCCTTGTTTCCCTGACTCTAACACACAGTCTTCACATTTTGACATCTCTGAAATCAGCTGGCATCTTATGGTCAAAGGTGTGTCATAGTCTAATCAGCAGTGTTTTTTCTTCTTTGTAGTGTATAAAATAATAGAGTAGCTTATAATCTATGTCTTCGCAGATAAATATCCTATGGAGAAAAGAAAAAGACCAACTTGTCCACAGCTGCTCTGAGGAGTTCAGAATACAAAAATCCTCCTGAGCTAGCTAAACAAATAATCATCTGTAACTAAGCATCTTCCACACTGATTTGGGTTGGCTTAGGGAAAAGTGCTTAGGTTTGGTGTCAGGAAGACTTTGGTTTCTGAAACCTGGCTCTGACTCCTGGCTCAGCGTCTTACAGCTATGTGATCTTGGGCAAGTCCCTTAACACCCACATAAAATGGGGTTAAACACACCAACCTACTAGCTTATTGTGAGGATTGCCTAAATTAATTCATGTAAATGCCTGGCATGTGGTAGGTGGTTGGTAAAGATTTGTTCCCAAGAATTTTTAAAAGGAAGTTTATCCTCCTTTTCCCCAAAAAGACATAAGGTAGTTTTTACCAAAATTAGCTAATACAAATAGAAGTAGAAAGACAAATTAGAGGCCAGGCACAGTGGCTCACACATGTAATCCCAGCACTTTGCAAGACCAAGACTAGAGACTCATTTGAGGCCAGGAATTCAAGACCAGGGCAACATAGCAAGACTCTGTCTCTACATTAAAAAAAAAAAAAAAAAAGACAAACTAGGATCAAGGAAAAAGGAAAAAGCATACATGCTATCACTAATTATTAACAAAGTTGCTAAAATTGAAAGTAAAATCTGGCTTGCCAGCAGCAGGGCAAAATGGTAGTTCTTCATTTTAGAAATGTGGAAACAGTAACTCTTTGGTGAATGGTTGACAAAATTTGTTCTGACTATACATTTTGAAAGCAATTTCTCATGTACATTTATATCTTATATCTGTACGGTATTTTACCATTCTCAGAGTGATTTCACAGCTACTATCTCATTTGATTCTGTGTTGACTCCATTCCATCTCTCTCCTTATGGATTAATTCATCCAAAGAAATATTTATCAAGTGCTTAAGATGCGCCAGACACATAAACAAGAGAAAAGGCCAACTAATCATTCTATTGGTTAGCCAACTGATTGGCTAACCAGTTACTAACTGCAAATTCATCTGTGAATGACCTGCAAACTGACTAATTAATTAGTCACCTAAATAATTGACCCCAGAGGGAGCAGGGGCTACAGGATAAACTGGGAAGCCAGTCAGCAAGGCAAAGCAGCTCACCCAGAGCCTGGGGTGGATGTGGTTGAGGATGGCTACTTGAGCTGGCTCCATAATGAAGTGAAAAGCAATTACAATAAAAAAGCAAACAAACAAAAAAAACCTAGATTTTTGGAGCACTTAATAAATACCAATGCCAAGCCCAGACCAACTGAGTCAGAATCTCCGAGAGCACAGCCAAAGCCTGATGTGGTGGTACGTGTCTATAGTCCCAGCCACTGGGGGTGAGAGGATAGGATCACTTGAGTTTAAGGGTTCAAGGCAAGCTTGAAAACTAATGCTCTGTGCCAATCACAGATATCCTGTTCTCTGTTCTCCTAGTCTCTCTTGTAGCTAGGGATGGTCACATAATCCAGTGTTGGCCAATGAGCCCTAAGCGGAAGACTGGAGGGGAGGAAGGTTGTGGGAAATATTTTGTTTTCTTGATAAGGGGGAAGACACAATCTTCCTTTCCCCTGTGGGTGAGATCCTTGGAGTCCTCACCCTCTAGGGATTCTAAGGCAAGAAAGATGAAAACTGATATGCAAGGGATATCAGAACAAAAGTATAGAAAAGCCTGGACTCCTGATGGCCTCATCAGCAGGTAATGCTGTTGGTAATGAGAAAAAACACCATCTCTTTTCATCATTGTTAGTCTGGATCTCTTTTACAGCCAAATACGTGCCTAAGACATACGTAAGATCCCAGCTCAGTGCTGAGTGACTGCTCCATAATGAAAGACACTTATCTGCATGTTGCTCATGGCTTCTCATCCAAATCCAGGAAACAGAATCCCTCCCCACTTCCTTCCCAGCTATACCGTTCTGTATGTGCTGTGATCTAATGCCTGGGGTCCTTATTAAGCCTGCAAGAGGGAAAGGATGAACGAGGCAGTTTACCTGTCCCCTGTGGCTTTACTGTCACCCAGCAGCCCCAAGTCTTGGCTCCAGATTCCTCAGCCCACATCCCATTGGGATTAGGAAGCTAGGGACAGCCAGGGTGGGGCAGGAGCTTGAGCCCACCCCAGGAGGTGGGGGGATTGAGCATGGGGGTAGGCAGAGGTGGCCGCTGCTGCCACTGCAGGTGCTTCCCCTCGCACCACAGATGCAGGTCTGCTCACCTTCCCTCTCACTCTGGCCTCCCAGGCCTTCTCCCAGCAGGGAGAACAAGGAAACTTCCAGTTAAAAGGAAGAGAGATCTGGGCTGCCCTAAGCCCTGACCCAGGTGAGGCAGGTTGGTCTGAGCCCCTTCGGGACTCAGGGTAGAGACATGGATTCACCAATGGCACAGGCTGATCCCTCCTCTAACTCTTGTTTGAGATCCTATGGAAATAAGGAATGAATGACCAAACCTGGGCTTTGCACAGCCTGATCAATCTAGACCTTCCAAGCCAGAGTCCGTGTCTGTAGGTAGATTCTTTGCGGGTCGGCTTCCTGCCCCCATTATACTACATGTTCCTGAACTGCCACCTCCTTCCATTTCCTCCAGTAAGACTTTCCTGAAATATATGTTTATTTTACTACCTGTCTGAGGAAGGCATATCTGCTAGGGTTGTGTTAGGTGAAAAAAATCTAACTCAGAGAAATTATTTAATTATCCAACACACCTCCCTTTTCTCTGTCTCTTCTTCCATTCTTCCTAAGAAAGAATAATCCAGAATTGACTTTAAATTTGGCTCCTCAGAGCTATTTCAGAATGAGGGGCTGACAAAATTAGAACTCAAAATGGGAGTATATGCGGGCTATCAGGAAGTCCTTGGAATTTGAAGTTTAAAAACCTGAATTCAAGTCCTCAGCAGGCTGTTTACAGAGGGTCCTAGAGCATGACCAGTTTCAAGGCTCTGCTGCCTCTTCTAAATGAGTTGTATAATAACAGCCACCTCCCAGGGTGGTAGGAAGGATGAAATGATATTGCATAGATGAAAGTGCTTTGAGGGCTCATAATAATAGCTAATGTTTATTGAGCACCTACTATGCTCCTGGCAGGATTCTAAGAATTTGTGTACTTTACCTCATTTCAACCTCACTACCTTATCAGGTGGGTACTTTCATAAACCCAATTTTACAGATGAAGAAATTGAGGTCAGATAATCTGCCGAAGGTCATACAACCAGGAAACGAAGTCAGGTTTTGAGGCCGATTAGTCTGGGTCTTTAGT